CACAGATGTTATCTAAAAGACAAGTGCTAACAAAAAAGAAGTAGTTATGATAACTTTGGTGGTTGGTTCAATCATTTCAGTTTGAATTTAGTATGGCTTGTTTGGTAGCTACTAAGAAGTTTGTTAAATAGCACTGTCTACATGGTTAACTCTTTATCTTTAAGCTGCTTATTTAAAGTATTTGAAAATTGTCCAGGCAAACCTGTTTCCTATTGTATTTTTGAAATATATATCATTTTAAAAATTTTAATTTTTCCAACTGTCATCTTTTCCCACATTTTAAGCTGAATTAAGTCAAAGGCTCTAGAAGTCATAGTTTAGAAATAATTGTAAGTGCTTTGAATATAAAACTAATCAGAAGCTGATTATAGACAGAGAAAATAGTATGAAGACGTCTGAAACAGGCTCTCACTCTTTCATATGTTTAAATCTTATTTATTTAAGTGTTTTACGTTCAATGTTTTCTTGTTGTTTTTTTACTCCTTTCTTTCTTTTTTTTTTTGTTTCTTAGTTTTATGCTCACAATTCTCTTAGCAGGCAGCCAACAAAAATGATCATTTGATATTATTCACATATTGTTAGCAGATTTTTTTTTCTGTAATTAAAGTAACCTGTTTGCTATTGGGATAATTGTTATTTCAAATTGCTGCACATTTAAGTGTAAAAAATCTAATTTAACTCATCAAAAATGAAAGTTTGTTCTAAAGAAGAAGAGTATTTACAATTATTTATTAATTTTTACAAGAAGGTTCTATTCTATTTCTTTAATATGGGAAACTTGTTCAGTTTGTGATGTGTTTGTTTGGTCACTGACAAACTTTATCACATTTGTTTTGATTTGGCTGACAGCAGGGTTGGAGATTGTCATCATTAGATTTCTGTCAAATACAAAGTAATAGTTGGACCTAGAATCCTTCACAAAAGTGTATCAAAGTGTACTACCTAGAGAGGATAACAGTTTTATTTTAATTTCTAACTGTAGCCACTCGGATATTTCATCTTCACCTATCCCTTAGTCTGTTGAACTGCTGGGGCACCACACAAGATTCACCATCTTTCTCCATTTCTCTCTGTCCCTTGCCTTGGATAGAATTTTTTTCCAATTGCAGGCCTGTCCATTCTTTAAGTTGCCTTATCATCCTTTTCTCTGTCTGCCTCTTCTTTTTCCTGGTAGTTTCCCTAAAGGAAGGTCTTTGCGAGATTCACCATCTTTCTCCATTCCTCTCTGTCCCTTGCCTTGGATAGAATTTTTTCCCAATTGCAGGCCTGTCCATTCTTTAAGTTGCCTTATCATCCTTTTCTCTGTCTGCCTCTTCTTTTTTTTCCTGATAGTTTCCTTAAAGGAAGGTCTTTGCGAGCGTTGATGACCTTTTGATATGGCTGTAGAGTTTAAGTTTGCATTTTTGACAGTAGTTAGCAGATAATCCTCTGGTCCAATTGCTGTATTTGAATTTATCCTGTTTCTAATCTCTTCATTTGTGATGCTGTCTTTGTATGTGATAGCTTGAATCTTTCTGTAGCATCTCAATTCCATTGCTAGGATACTTGACAATCACTGACAGATGCTACAAAGATTAATTCTCTTAGATAATGTGATATTGCATCATAACTACCAGTTAACAGTGGGATAATTATTCTTAGATAATTTAATTCAATAATGTAGTACATAGCAAAGATTAGTTTTGATTGCTAAATGTTATCAATAATCCTGATTAATGTTTCATATTCTTAAAAAAAAATATTTGAATGCAGTAACATTTTAAGAAAAATGTCTTCTTTTTTTTGTAAACTATATCAATTTTACAAATGTCTTTTTTTTTTCAGTTGCAAAGGGCATTTAGTCAAAAATGTTTGATTAACTCAAAGATGACATTGCCAGATTTTTCTACACAGTTGGTAAAAAGTTGTTACATCATTCCTGAATGAAATTGAAAAAAAAGTGGAAAGGTGTTATATAAATAGATTTCAATCTCAATAATAATGCTATGATTATTTGTTGTTTATATTTTTTTTAAATGTTTAACTATGTGCAATGTATGTCTTTCAAAAAGTTATTTTTTAGTACATAGATGATCGCCTTGAAAGTCCCAGGTTTATACCATGCCATCTGCCATTCCCTGTCATCCTGCAGGAAGTTTGGACTAGAAAGTAGATATCTTTAACTTTAAAGGAGCATCCAAAACATGACAAACATTAATGTATTTTTTTCTTTCATTTCTTTTGTACTTTTTGGTAGCATTTTATTTTTGTGAATAATGTAAAACTAATAATTTTTATTAGGCAGTTAAAATAGTGATTAATTATGATGTCTTGTCAGTTATAGAACTGGGACTATAGCAGCCATTGGAAACAATAAGATGACATAGAAAACATTCCTTTTTCCATTTGCTAGGACAAATTAGTACATTTGTAATGCCCCTTCTTCCCAAGGGCTATTAGAGCATGGAATGTGTTGCCTGAATCAGCCAGGAAAACCAATGACTAGGCGGAATTTAAGTCATTGATTAACATGCATGACTAGATTGACCTAGGAACATGCAAGGATGTAATCATCTTCTTTTTTTTTAAGTATCGTCTGTATTTCATAAGATAAGATAAAACTTGTCTGTTAATCGCTAGTCCCTCTTGTAAGAGACAAGCCTGATTGACCAAGTAGTTATGATAACTTGAGTGGTTACTTCAATCCTTACAGTTTTGATTTTTGAAATGGTTCAATTTACTTGGCCCAATTTACTTTATGTTTGGCAAGTTATGAAGGCTTTTTTTTTAGCAGCCAGTGCATTGGTTTGTAGATATATTTGCATTCTATTACTTAGCTCTCAAATCATTCACTCACTCTTTGGTATTTCTGTTTTTACGGCTGTTTCCAAGGTTTTCTCACTCCCCCCCCCTCCAAAAAATAGCAGTAACATGTGAAAAAAAATGCAATTTAATTTAATGCTAAAACAATGCTGAAACTATGGGTAGAATAAACTTATAATTTGCTATTCTACCTCTAAATGAAAAAAAAAAGGTATGGTACTTCAAACAGCAGACATTTTATTTTAAATTATTTGATAAACCAGATCAATATCATTTTTTTCTAAATAAGTGTAAATATTAATTATGTGCCATATAAATTGAAATTATTGATTCTAATCATCATATTTATATTTAAATTTAACTTCTAGTCATCCATTTAACTGTTATGGAGGAAATACAATGTATTATGATAATGTTAATACTCTTTGCCTAGTGTAATTAAATGTTCACACCTTATTACTGTATATTTTTTTTATTAACTAATGTCAACTAAATATTTACAGGCATGTTATGGACCCTGATTGGTATAAATATTCAGCTTATTTGTTTAAAATGAAATCCAACGGCTTTGTTTTGTGATAAAATGGGAATTCTAAGATTGTGTATAATTATTGTAAGATATCATTTTTTGTTTACTTATGCACTGCTTAAATTATAATACACTAATTATACATATGAATTTTCATTGAGTGCAAAGTTATAAGAAATGTCATTGTGCTGGCTGCCAGATTTTATTGTGTACATACCTTGAGTAATTTTCTACTAACATTAATATAACATTCAGACAATAATGATGAAAATGTCTTGCTCAGCAGCACAGAAATAATTTGCTTTTCCTTTTGCCAAATCTGAAAATGTTCATTTGACAGTGTAAGTTTTTAGATTAAAAAAAAAGTGATTTTAAATAACTATATTTAATTTTATAAGTGTTCTTGTGGATGAAAAAACAAATTGACATAGTCACCTGTTTCAATGGTCAACTACTAGCCCGTGTGCCAGGAAGCTTGCATGTCAAACTAATTACTTAACCCTTCAAAAATTCATTAGCCACGTATTATGGCTTGACTTAAAGAGTTTTCTGACATTCATTTGGAAATGAACATTATATCTCTTAGCCCAAACCATCCTGCAGGATGGCAGAGGGGTTCAAACCTGCGACCATAGTGAAAACAGCAGTGCACACTACATGATTAGGAAGCCATCCTTTCTAACTGACCACTTCTAAATTTGAATGAGGAGATATAGGTGAAAAATCCCCAAAATACAAAAGGCTTATAAAAAAACTTTTTTGATAAGTTCCCTAATCAGGCACTAGCTAATCTAGGTAAAGGCTAATGCAAAATTTACAATGTCATTGTAAAAAGTGAGCTGTTCACAGTTAAGTTTTCAATGTTGAGTTAGGCTTATAGTATTAGCAGGATGGCTGTGTGCAGTTGCCTAAATGGTCCTGGGTTCATACCCTGCCCACTGCCATCTTTCCCTTGTCCTGTGGGAGGTTTGGACTAGGAAGTACTTTATCTCCAACTCTGAAAGAACATCCCAAACATGTAAAACATTTTTACCTTCAATGAGAGGTCAGAGAGATGATATAATAAGGGTTTGATTTTTGCTGTGTAGTATTTAAAGCTTTTATAATGAGCATAGATGAGCTGGAAGTATTGTATTAACTTTAGAGACTTGTCAGCTTTGACTGGCATAGTCATATCATTTACTTCATTAAGTCTACATTTGTTTTGCTGTGCCAGCTGACTATGGAGACAGCTGGCAATGTGGTACAACTTGGCCTACATAAAACTGTTTAAGATTCACTATTTTTAGTGAGAATTTTGCTTGAAAGAAAATACAGTCTGAATGTTTAGATTTCCACCTATGACAGTGTAATATTAATGAGCATCTTTTAAAAGATATTACTTTTTTTTATACTGAGTCTACTGATCTTATGTATTTTTTTTCCCACAATGACAAGTATTTTTCTTCACCTCTCTGTAAATACTAAAAGAAAGTCCAGCTCTTAATACATACATGCATGTAATAGACTTGTTGACTGTTTTTAGGGCATTAAGATAAATTATTGATCATGTGTAGTTCAAGTGAAATTTATGAGGATGTGATCACTGTTTTATTCACATTGTTAGTCAAATGAATCCATATACCCTGTATTTTTATTTTAAATTCATAACAATAAATTAAATAAAGAATTATTTCTGATTTTATTTAATTATTGATTCTACATTGTCTAGAAGTTATATATATTGATTGCCTTATCATTGTCACTTTACCATTGCAATGAACAAAAAAAAAACACTTTAATTTTAGATACTTTAGAAATAAAAATAATCATGGATTACAATGATTGCTTAAACCATTTTTATTTTGCAATTAAGTATGCCTCAAACTTCACTAAACAGGTCATGAGCAGCATAATTTTTCCCTATTCATCTAAAGCAGCATATTACCATATCAATTTATGTAGTAAATATTTGTTATGTCTTCAAATCATAGCATGTTTGATACTATAGGCACCATTTTATAAATAGTTTTTACAAAGCTCGTCTCCACTGTTTCGCAAAAAGTTTGTACACATTATTTCTCCCACGCCTAAGCTCTCTGATTAAACTAAAATTGCAGTTATTTTCTTTTACACAAGAATCCATACAAAAATAAACAACTATTGGTAACTAATTATTTTTGTTTGGTATCTTGAACACAGGAAAGAAATTGTACTTGACAGATGTAGGGGTATAGGTTGAATTTGTCTCCTTGAGGAATCTTGAGCCCTGAGTGAACATTAGTTTTATGCATTTAAAAAATAATCATGTAAACATTCACCAAGATACTCCCTTTCTACCCTCCCCCTTTCACAAGTGATAGATCACAGCGCATTGAGAAAGCTAAACAAAAAATATTTTTAATCCCAGATTTATGTCTAGATCAATTATACATACAATTACATGACTGGTCCAAACTAATTGATACAATTACACTTAACATACCAAGCTTTGGTTGTTTTTTTTTTTTTCTCGTTAAATTTTAAATTTATTTAAACATCATGAAATATCTTGTAATTTTAGTGTGCCAATTAAATTGTTTTTTAAATCTGGATACTCATCTTACTTTCAACTACCATGGAAGGATGCAAGCATCACAAATATATTTAAATATATTTTTTACTATCCTGACAAGAGTATTTCTCTTATTCTGACCAACTTCATACACAACAGTCATTCAAACTTTCTTGCTGTTAATCAAAACACAAACTTAAGATGTTGACTCATTTTATTCCTGGCTGGACATAAATAATGTTGACCATAGTTCTCAGTGGGTAAAGATGACAAAGTCACAGCTCTACTTGGACATCATATAACACTTTGATGATACTGTCTGTTAGTCCAAAACAAAAACCATCAGGGGATGGGGGAAAAGTAAATATTAAGCAATATCAAGATTTCAATGAATTGGCTCATTTAAGGGGAAACAAATCTAAAGTTAAAAAAAAAAAACTGACATACAGTGATAATGTACCATTCTGAAAAAAAAAATGTCTTTACTGGTCAAACTTGATGGAGAATGACAAAAAAAAATATATTAACATTGACTAAGTCTAACAATCATTCAGGATTTTCTAAACTAAACTGACACTTGAGTAAAGGGAAACACAATGTTCTGTAGCACTAGCTACATTGATTATAAATTAGAGTGTACAATAATACAAAAATAATCATGACTATAATCATCTTTGTAAAAAAAAATGTAAGACAGAATGGCAACAGTTTTTTTAAGATCTTCAAACTATAACAGGAAATAAAGAATCAATAGTGCAAATGTCAGATAAAAAAACACATTTCTCATTCTGTGAAAACATCCTGGAAAACATTTACTTGGGGTTCTTGAAGTTCTTTCCAGCAAATTTGGCCTGGGAGCCCAGCTCCTCTTCAATTCTCAACAGCTGGTTGTATTTAGCAAGCCTCTCTGATCTACAGGGGGCGCCAGTCTTGATCTGAACAATGGAGACGCAATGATTACTTTACATTATATATAACGAATAAAATTCTCATAACTATAATTGTGAAATGTGCATGCAACATTATAAAAGAATAGAACAAAAAATATGACAACTTTTAGCAATATATGAATGAACTCCAGAGGCTGTATTTCAAAAGCTTTCAACGAAAAAAAAATCTTATATTGTTAGCATCCTTGCCCACTTGAAGGAAAAATGTGTTCCACTGTTTCAATTGGGAGGATTGGGTGCCTGCATTCTATTCAAAAGAACTTGATTCCTCATGCAGGGGGGGGGGGGTGCGGGGGGTCATCAAATATTAACATGAGCTTAACAACCTTGCTGCCTCTATAAAGAATGATGCATACATATATAAAAGCAGATTTAGCGACCACATTTTTAATGAGAGAAGATAGTGGATTATTCTTCTTCTTCCTCATTTTTATGTTGGAGCGTTCAGATGACTAGACCAATAAATGAGATGAACTGTGCAGTAATTTCCAAATCAGGGAGCTCTCCAAATAGTTTTCTTTCCATTAGGGTGTTTTGTGGACCGTGTCTTGTACGGGTCTCTTGTAGTGCAGTTTTGAAGGAAAAGTGGATTAAATATAACTATAATAAAGGACGCATCGACCAGAGCATGAACTAGTGACAACTGACATGGCAACTCTACCTAGGAGTAACACAGTACTAAGTGAGCTATGTCTATGGTCCAGAGGTTAGCTTGCTTATTTCTGCATTACTGCTAGGTGGAGTTGTCTTATCAGGTGTCACTGGTTTGTAACCTGGCTGACCTTATTTTTGTTATATATAATTGCTACTACAAAGAAAGCACTTTTAGGAAAAAGATGTACAATATGGCAACAAATGTATTTACCTGACCGGTGGCCAAGCCAACAACTAGATCAGCAATGAAAGTATCTTCAGTCTCACCACTCCTGTGAGAGACCATCACACCCCATCCAGCTGTCTGAGACATCTTGCAACTGTCAATCAAAATCAATCATTATATTATCAGTTCTAATTTACAAACTACTTTTCATTACAATAAAAAATTCATAAGTCAAAAGTTAATGCAGACTTGCTTATCTTAAATTTCACTTGGCTGACTTTTTGAAGGCTCGTAGTGAAAAGATTAAAAATGTTAATGAACATAACACATATTACAAGCATTTTAAAATTTATAGCAAAATATTGATTAATATTTGCCTCAATTGTCTTAATAAAGATTATAACAGGAAGTCATTGAAAGAGGCTAAATCATAAACCAACAAACAGCAATAGCTGTGCTCCAAGTGGCACTGACAGATGAAATACATTACTACAGACATTAGTATTACTGACAGATGAAATACATTTTTTTGTTACTGGCAGCAGAGATAAATACAAATAACTTACGCATCTATGGATTCAGTCACTGTACCGATTTGGTTGACTTTAAGCAGCAAGGCATTGCAGGCTTTCTGTTCAATACCTTTCTGTACTCGCTTGGGGTTTGTTACCAACAAATCATCACTGGGAAAACAAAAAAGCAGTGTGTCTAAAATACATCTTTTATTTCAATAAGGAAATTCTACTTAACTCAGGGTGATAAATAAGACCAAAATTACACATTCATTTATTGAAACAAAAAAAAAAACTTCATCATATTAAAGTGGAGAGCATCTCTTGATGTTACAAAGAGTTTGGGATTTTAAATTCTGTATTTTTAGTACAGCTCTTAAGTACATATTTATTATTGTTCTTTTTACTAGCCATATGTCATGTTAACAGTTGACCTTAGACAAGGGGGCCATTTAAACCAAGTCTCCAAGTACTGCTACTTAACACTACACTCTTGAGATGATTTATTTTTGGTACAGAGAATGTTTCCGAAACTCCTAGAAAACATAAGTTGGATGTCCAGTAACCCAAAACTTACCCGACAATCTGTACTCCGATTTCACTGGTCAGTTTGGCCCAGGCTGTCCAATCATCCTGGTCAAAGGGATCTTCAATGCTGACCACTGGGTAATTTTTGACAAAATTTTTGTACACCTCAGCCAGTTGATCAGAAGTGAGCTACAAATATAATATTTATTTATAAGAAAACAAAAATGCAAACATAGAACAATTTTTATTAAATTAGAATTGAAGCTAAAATTTAAGCCCAGAAAACACTACACAGACAACAATTTTTTTTTACTGTTATTAGATTTTATAAAAACATCAAAAATTAGCTAAAGCTAAACGTCAACATGGCCATAAAGAGGATTTCCAGACAATGGTTAAAGAATACAAACACAGGTGTTAGAGCCATGTGAAATGATGCTTTAAAACATGAACAGGAAAAAGAAGTAAGTTAGGTAAAGGAATGATGGGAACGTACAGGCATAAACTTGGATACAAGGTTTAAAAGAGCAAGAACTAGGTTTATTACATACTACAAGTCTGATGATTATCCAAAAAAAAGTAAAAATGAGCTAAAACCTAAGTGAGCAGAAGAATTGTCTTAAGATTTATTTACCCATTTTGATGAATCGGAATCTTTGTTTTTGAAGTCCAGGTCATATTTGCCCTCTTTGTAGAATTCTGATGCTGCAACATCCATACCAATTTCAACTTTTCCTGTGTAACCAGCTTTCTCAATAGCTTCCTTTAACAGTTCCAGACCTGCAAGACAGACATAACTCTAGAACCAGTGCAAATGAAATGATATTCTGTAGCTATTACTGTTAAGAGGACTATGGTAACCTGATTACAAAAAAGTATTCATAACAGATGACATAAAAGGGTCTTACCTTCAGCATTGTCCTGAATATTAGGAGCAAAGCCACCTTCATCACCAACATTGCAGGCTGTAGAAAGAAACAGCAGAGATGATAATGATATGTAATATATATATATATTTAGCTACTAGGCATCAGTCTTTTGATAATTAGCTGCACACAATTATAACATTAAAAAAATGACTATTTTATAAAACAGTATGAAAAAAAATATTCTTGATATTTCTTACATCTATTTAATGGTAAGCCCTTAGCCATACTTAGTAGTTAAATAAACTTTTTTCAGTCTAGATTAAGTCTATCCATCACAGAACGACGTGCGATTTCTAAATTATTTTTTTTTAAACTAATCCTATCAGAAGCATAATGCTTACCATCTTGACCATACTTCTTCTTAATGACTGCCTTCAAGTTGTGGTAAACCTCTGACCCCATCTTCATGGCTTCAGAGAAAGAGCTGGCCCCTGAAAATATTAAATGATTAGAATGAATTTCATAGTTAGTGATATTTCTCTGCATCAATAATGCAACACATCAAATTAAAGTAAAAATCTCATTAAAAAAGAATTCTTTGAACTAATGCCTGAAGAACATAAAGAAATCAATCATAAATACTGCTTATAATATTTTTTATGAGAATCTTTGTGGCTACAACACTCAATACTATAACTAGTATACTCATCAAGAAATTTGTGCTAGTGAAATAAAAGTTCAACTAGAACAAACTTCATACATTTTAAAATAATGTTAGGTCTTGGAACTTGTTTTTTTTTAATTGAGAAAATGTTAACCAAGCCCTAGTGACTATCTCTACATAAAAAAGTTTTAAAATATTTTTTAACACAAATATATTATGAAAAAGTGTAGACATGTACATTAAGATATTGATATTATAAATATATACAAATATATTTATACATTGATGAATCAAAAGCCAGAAGATAAGACCCTCTTAGTCACAACTGATCACTTAAATTTAACAAATTTACATATGAAACCAAAGTGAACTGACCAGTGGGCAGCAACATAAACTCCTGCATGGCTAGCTTGTTGCCAGCATGGCTGCCTCCATTGATGACATTGAAAGCTGGGCATGGTAGAAACAGCTGCTTTGTGCCAGCTAGGTCGGCAATATGGCGGTAGAGAGGGACACCCTTTTCTGCCGCTGCGGCTCTGCAGACTGCCATGGACACTCCAAGAATGGCGTTGGCTCCCAGTCTACCTAAAATAGTCAAAATGGTATATAATAATGAAAAAAGTTTTCCTATTAAATATCACTTTTTAAAAGTACGTCCAGCTACAAGAGGGGGTGGGGGGGGGGGGGGGAGGTGGGAGGAAGAGGAATGTCTTCTTAAGCAATGGTGATAAACGGAAAGTCTGTTTAATTGTATGCAATGATGAAAGAAAGTGGAATGCAGTGGTAACTTAGATAAAACATTATTGTCCCTTAAAATGAAAAAAAAAGGGTACTTTCCGGATAAAAGTGTCAATCCTCTAACTCAGTGATGCTCAACC